AGTCTGACCGGACTAGCTTGTGCTGCTGGGTCTGGTGCCGTGCTCCATCCTTGAGTGGAGGTGACCAGACTGGGTGGGTCATTGGGCTAATCCGAGGGGAGGGGGACATGGAAATTCTCCGCATGGGTCAGTAGGCCTGTTGCAGTGTTCCTTTTTTCTTATGTTATGTAATAATATTTGTAGTAGCTGAAACGGCAGTAGCAGCAGCTTCAGTAGTAGTAGTAGTAACAGTAATAATAGTAGTAGTAGTAACAGTAATAATAGCAGTAGTAACAGTAATAATAGCAGTAGTAGTAACAGCACTAGTAACAATAGTAGTACTAGTACTAGCAGTTGTAGTAGCTGTTATAGTACTAACAGTAGTAGTAATAATGACTACTACTAGTAGTAACACTAATAGTAATTGCAGTAGTAACAGTAGTGGCAGCCTTCGCTTCAGCAGCTGCCCGTTCATTTCCGACAACAACAACACTGTCTTGTCACCAACGGAACTGCACATCCTCGTGCTGCATGTGGAGATGAACTAACCACTCCTGGATCTTCTGTACCACAGGTTAGGTTAGGTGAGGTTTGACAGGAAACAGGACGAGTGTTTCCTGACGCAGGTCTTAGTCATATATGACCCGAAGTGTACCACAGGGCGGAGAGAACCACATTGGGCCAGGACAGACACAACACACTGAGAATATGAGTCCACAGTGAATCGAAAACCAGCTAAACCAGGAGTACTGATTGAGAACTTTGTGTTGTTAGAGTACTGTTTAAGAACTGTGTGTTATTAGAACACACAGTACTGTTAGCGAATTACACTGTAATTATCACTTGCATAACTGTTAGTGTTGTAAGCTCCATAAATACACCAGACCAGAAAATAAACATTTAACTCCACAACCCTCCCCCCCCCAAAAAAAAAAATCAGAGAATTACCTAATCTGACGTTTTCAACATTATTTACAACTGAGCCATATGACAAGACAGTAAACGCAAAAAATTACATTTGCACAAATATTATATCTATTTGAGTCCCACTCTGAATTCTTCAGACATAACAATAATAATAATAATAATAATAATAATAAAAATAATAAAATAATAATAATAATAATAATCCTTATTTCTACAAGTACATGATAAAACTTACTATATAGAAATGCCCGAAATGCTCTGCTGCTGCAGATCATTTCGGGCAACTTAGATTAATTTTCTTCCGCCCCAAGATGACACCCACACTATGTGTGATGAATGGTTTGAAAAACCGACAAGTTGAAGATTGAGACACTTATGCAGCATATGGGAATCTTTATTCAGGAAACGTTTCGCCACACAGTGGCTTCATCAGTCCAATACAAAGAGGAAGGTTGTTAGGTAAGACACATATGCAACAGTTAGGTATCTTTATTATGAAACGTTTCGCCTACACAGTAGGCTTCTTCAGTCGAGTACAGAAAAGTTGATAGAAGCAGAAGATACTTGAAGACGATGTAATCAGTCCATCACCCTTAAAGTTTTGAGGTGGTCAGTCCCTCAGTCTGGAGAAGAGCATTGTTTCATGCTATGGAACAATGCTCTTCTCCAGACTGAGGGACTGACCACCTCAAAACTTTAAGGGTGATGGACTGATTACATCGTCTTCAAGTATCTTCTGCTTCTATCAACTTTTCTGTACTCGACTGAAGAAGCCTACTGTGTAGGCGAAACGTTTCATAATAAAGATACCTAACTGTTGCATATGTGTCTTACCTAACAACCTTCCTCTTTGTATTGGACTGATGAAGCCACTGTGTGGCGAAACGTTTCCTGAATAAAGATTCCCATATGCTGCATAAGTGTCTCAATCTTCAACTTGTCGGTTTTTCAAACCATTCATCACACCTGTCAGACACTGCAGCATCATGGGATCTTGTTACAAAGAATTCTTCAACACTTGTTCAACCTTTGGACAAAGACCTACTTCGACTAGTGGATGGTACCACTATGACCCCGCCTCCGCCTGCTTCACCTCACCTCACTACAGTATATAAGCCACGTCTACGGCCCTATGCTGTATATTTTACAAGATTGATGGACTGAACACATCGACTCCAGGCTGAGGGACTGATTACCTCATACTCCTCCTCTCCTTACGCCTTCCTCTTTCTATTGGACTGATGAAGCCACTGTGTGGCGAAACGTTTCCTGAATAAAGATTCCCATATGCTGCATAAGTGTCTCAATCCACACCCACACTAGTCGACTAACACCTAGGTACCTACTTACTGCTAAGTGAACAGGGACAGCAGGTTTAAGGTAAATACCTTTACCTTTGATGAGTTTCGAGAGTCACTATTCTCGGTGCCCGGCCATGGGCCAGGCTTGTCTGGTGCTTATTTGGTCAACCAGGCTGCTGCTGCTAGAGGTACGCTGTCCCACATATCCATCACAGTCTGGTTGATCTGGCACCTAGTGAAGATGCTTGTCCAGTTTCCTCTTGAAGACCTCTACACTTGTACCAGCAGTGTTTCTGATATCTTCTGGTAAGATGTTGGATAGTCTGGAGCCACGAATGTTGATACAATGTTCCTTTACTGTGCCCACCGCACCCCTGCTCCTCACTGGGTTTATTTTACACTTTCTCCCATATCTCTCAGTCCAGTATGTTATGGTAGTGTGCAAATTTGGGACCAAGCCCTCGAGTACTTTCCAGGTATATATTATCAAATATCTCTCTCTCTCCTCCGCTCCAGTGAGTACGTGTTCAAGACTTGAAGGAGTTCCCAGTAACTTAGGTGCTGTACTGGGTCAATGTGAGCCGTAAACGATCTCTGTATTTGTTCCACCTCTGATATTTCTCCTGCTTTGAACGGGGCCGTCAGCAATGAGCAATATTCCAAATGAGGGAGCACTAGTGATTTGAAGAGTGTCACCAGTGACATTATTTTCTTTGTTTAGAAAGTTCTCAGTAGCCGCCCCGTGATCCTCCTGGCTGTTGTGATCTTTGTCTTACGTTCTTTGAAAGGTCAGCTGACATAATTATTCCCAAGTCTTTCACGTGTTTTTTTTTTTTGTTTTATTTAGTGATCCTCTTGAGTTGCAATATCAATTACAACAATAATTACAATAAAATTACGATATTAATTGCAGTATTAATTACGATAATAAGTACAATAATTTAAATTACAATTATAATTATTATGATTACAGTAATAATTATAATTATAATTTCAATACAGTAATGATAATTTCAATAATTACAATATAATTTCAATAATAATTACAATATGATTTCAATAATAATTACAATATAACTGCAATAATAACAATATAATTGCAATATAATTGCAATACTTCAGGGAAATACTTTAGAGGTTGTGCGAGAGACGAAGAAAACACAAATAATAAATAAGAAAAATAAAACGAAAGATGTAATATAAAAAAAGGACATATCGAAAAATCACTTAAAAAAAAAAAAACACAACGTGTAGTCGTATGGAGACAAACAACAGATTTTAAGATTTTTGTCTGCGAAGCGTCTAGTTTATTGTGCGTCCCGCTCTCCTGGAGTGGACGGTAGCGCGAGAACGCACGGTAAACAAAAGGCCTTGGAACTAGGCTTCACTTTACAGGACTACATAAGAACCATACCACGGGCGGGATTTGAACCCGCGGTCAGAGAGTCTCAAAACCGCGGGTTCAAATCCCGCCCGTGGTATGGTTTGTTTGCAATCGTGTCATTACGATTTCGTGAGTCATGGATACATAAGAACATAAGAATGGAGGAACACTGCAGAAGACCTACTGGCCCATGCAAGGCACGTCCTTATCAAAACGACCTCTACCCAAAGCTACCCATGAATTAACTCCCGTACATCTGGATTTATATCTATGGTTCACTTATCTGTTGCGAATAAATTTAGATATTTTGATATATCACATAGGTTTTAATACTGAATATCTGTATAGGGAGCAAGGGGCTAGTAACCCCCTCTCCTGTATACATTACTAAAGTTAAAAAGAGAAACTTTCGTTTTTTTTTTTTTGGGTCACCCTGCCTCGGTGGGTTACTGCCAATTTGTTGAAAGAAGATCTCTATATTCCTCGGATGTTAGGGTAATGTATATATACCACAGATTTACGTGATGATCTGGGAGTACTGTGAATGTTGTGAGAAAAATGTATGTCACTGGAAGTAGATGTAGAAATATAGATGTGCATATGTGCAACACTTGGGTATCTTTATTGAATAAATGTTTCGCCACACAGTGACTATCAGTCCTATACAAGGAAGAATTGTGAGAATTACAAAGAGTTTAATGCAATCAGTCCCTCAGACTGGAGATGGTGTAATCAGTCCCTCAATCTTGAAAAGATTGAGGGACTGATAACCTCAAACTACTGATCTTCACCATTCTTCTTTGTATTGGACTGATGACTCCACTGAGTGGCGAAACGTTTCCGCAGTAAAGATATCCAAGTGATGCACATGTGTCTAATTTATCAATTTGTTGGATCTCTGAACCATTTATCTACAAAACTTTCCGTATTCCACTATATTTCGGAAATTGTCTGGGATAAAGACAGTATTTTTTCTCCTTCAGTTCCTCGACTGAGGTGTGAGATATAGAAATGCAAATCATTTCAACCTTTTTGTAGTAATTTGAACTTAAAAGACAGTCAAACTCGAAAAAAAATTAGTTTAGAAATTCAAATGTCAGCTTTTTTTCATTCATCCTAAGATGAATCAGTTCGGTGTTACGGGAATATAGAACATTTTGCTTTAAATGAGTAAGAACAAAATTATTAAACGATTATTCACGCTTGTTGTGTCATGAGTGACACCGTGCATAAGAAAACTTATATTCTCATTTACTATAATCAAAAGCATCAGTCGAGTGCGTCTCCCTGTATTATGTAAGAATTATTCAGCAGTAGGATGACATTTGAGAGTCTGACGTAACCGGGGTCAAGGGAGGGAAGAAGCAGGTATATAAGGCAGCAGCAGCGACCACAAGGCATCACACGACCTCACACACACACACACATTCTCTCCTCAACATGGCTTGCAAGGTATACATCCAATTCTTGTACTTGCAGAGCTGCGCAGTGCTTGCAGTACCTATCGTTCCGGGTATCAGAACTCTTTTTCAGACATCAGTTCACCCAGTGACCAGAAATCCTCATCACCTTGAACACAATGTTGCTAAAGTAGAACTAAAAAGTACAGTTTTTGCAGAACTGTAAGTCCGGTGATTGTACATTCCTAATGTTTTACACCTGAGGCCAGAGTCGTGCCCAGAACAATTATGAGAGCACTGCTTACTAATCAACAGAACACGACTACCTTCCAGGTAGTCGCCAGTCCTACATTCCTTACTCTTAACGTGCACACTTTAAGCTTACCATTAAGTTGGCAGTACCGTCAGAGAAACGCTAGCCAGACTTCAGGTTACCGCTCACTAACACTGCCACACTCAAGAGGTGAATCCGATCATCCTCCGAGTCACGTAAAGACTAGATAATTTGCACAGTAACATCCGCATAGAAGAAAAGAATAGTTAGCCATTCGCAATATTCAGAGCCCATCAATATCTGTATATGTACAAGTTTTTGATATCTCATACTCTCTTCACAGCTCGTTCTCTAACTCAAATTCTAGGCTTGATATAATTAATAACCAATTATAGTTTGAATTGAAGTCACAGCTATATCAGATTGATGAGTGATTATAGCCATGAATACGGACAGATCAACTGTTATGTGTTGCAAGGTGAGAATCATTGTTCTTCCTTCTTCAGGTGTTACTGTTGGCCACTCTTGTAGTGTTGACAGTGGCCAGGCCAGAACCTCCTCCACCTCCAGGTTATGGCGCCCCGGCACCCGTCTTCATCTCATCCGGCCCTGAGGTAAGCTCCCCAACATTTGTGTTTGTATATTTTCCTTTTAGAGAAAATGAGACGCAATTTGGTCGTGTTAGAGAGATCTTGGACCGAACCTGATCAAGTTCCTTTTCCCAGACGCTGTAAGATCCACATGGGTTTAACGCTTCTCACTTAGCATAATAATAATGTAGTCGTGAATTACCCAGTAATTACCCAGCGTAATTTGGGATGAGAGTTTTATCTTTAGTGTTTCATGCTTACCTACTAAATTCATATTGACTTACATGATCACTAGATCACGTAAGTTTTGATTTTGTTATCGTAGTTATGTAGTTTCCTTTTTCATTCCATTACTATCGTAATGTCCTCATGAAGGTGTTTCTTGACATTTCTGTAACTTAACTGGTTTGATTTTCCATCAGTGTTACCAAGTCTGGTCGATCCTATTAGAAAAGCTGTTCTCGTATCACTGTGTGTGTGTGTGTGTGTGTGTGTGTGTGTGTGTGTGTGTGTGTGTGTGTGTGTGTGTGTGTTTCTGTTTCTTTCTTTGTTTACGTATGTATACACTGATTTGCATATGCAGTGGTTGAGTTTCATCTCAATTCCAGCACTAGTCTACTGTAGTCTACTTCCGGGAATTATCTCGAAATTTACTTAAGTGTTTGATTACAAGTGAGTTCTATACAAGAAAACGTCATACACATAACGTTAAACATCTTGGTCATATCTATGTTTTTAAGCGTCATTCTTACGTTTGTTACGTTATTATGCTTAGTGGAAGGCATCTCGGGGGACGTCTTCGGGGTGATTGTTATTGCCGTGTGTTTTGATTGACTTATTTCATAAATTTTCTTTCTTCAAGACACTACTCTGAATTCGACAGCTTCTACTAATAACAGTGGTTAAAGAAACTGGCATTTCATGCAGTAAATCAATATGCTTCGTGTTGCAGGCTCCTCCTCGGTACGACTTCAACTATGCAGTGAAGGACGAGTACGCTGGCAACGACTTTGGTCACCAAGAATCTCGTGACGGCTACGACACCAAGGGTAGTTATTACGTCCAGCTTCCCGACGGTCGTCTACAGACTGTCACTTACTACGTCAACGGAGACTCTGGTTTCGTAGCCCAAGTTGAATACCAGGGAGAGGCTCAGTACCCAGCCTACCAGCCAGTCCAGGCCTACAAGCCGGCCCCTGCGCCCACATACACACCCGCTCCCGTCTATAGTTAACCCAACGAACTTTATATGTTACATGTTACTGTATTGTATGAATTTTAATGTTGCATTGATGTTATAATTACAAAAATAAAACCACTGTTCAACTTGATGCATTTACACAAATCCTATCACGAAACCAATAATATTTCTTATTAATTTTCACTGAGCGAATTTTTTTATTCTTAAGAGGAACCAAATATCCGTGAAGATTAATCATATGTTTGTATTAATAGAGTTTGTATGATACATTTCAATGTCAACAGAGATATATAACCTTCCTTCCTGTGTTGAGAATTCATTATGTTGCTGGAAATGACTCCATCAGTTCGAGAAATGAGGTGAGGAAGAGATGTGAAATAAATAAGGAAATATGTGGCAATAAGATAATGCTGATATGATCTTATCTTTAAATGTGGAGAAGAACCAACGACTAGAAAAGAATAACTAAGAGCAAAGAATGTCGAATGTAAAAAATAAAAAAAAAAATGCGTGAGAAATACAAGAAAAATACTCATCATCTGAATCTCAGTCGAGCATTAACTGTAGACATGCATGACGTGTGCACATGACGTGCACATGACGTGCACATGACGTTTACCTAGAGTTTACCTGGAGAGGGTTCCGGGGGTCAACGCCCCCGCGGCTCGGTCTGAGAGCAGGCCTCGTGGTGGATCAGGGTCCACCGATTTCAACTGCCTTTAGGAGGGTTCCACTTTTTTAAATCCCCCGCTACACCTGCTGACACCGTGAGTGTTGCTGACACCGTGAGTGTTGCTGACACCGTGAGTGTTGCTGACACCGTGAGTGTTGCTGACACCGTGAATGTTGCTGACACCGTGAGTGTTGCTGACACCGTGAGTGTTGACTGACACGTGATCTGCTGACACCGTGAGTGTTGTGACACGTGATGTTGCTGACACCGTGAGTGTTGTGACACGCTGGTGATCTGCTGACATCGTGAGTGTTGTGAACACACCGTAACTGCTGACACCGTGAGTGTTGTGACCCCGTGAGTGTGCTGACACCGTGAGTGTTGCTGACACCGTGAGTGTTGGAACACAGCCATACACCTGCTGACACCGTGAGTGTTGGAACACAGCCATACACCTGCTGACATCGTGAGTGTTGGAACACAGCCATACACCTGCTGACATCGTGAGTGTTGGAACACAGCCATACACCTGCTGACATCGTGAGTGTTGGAACACAGCCATACACCTGCTGACATCGTGAGTGTTGGAACACAGCCATACACCTGGTGACATCGTGAGTGTTGGAACACAGCCATACACCTGCTGACACCGTGAGTGTTGAACACAGCCATACACCTGCTGACATCGTGAGTGTTGGAACACAGCCATACACCTGCTGACATCGTGAGTGTTGGAACACAGCCATACACCTACTGACATCGTGAGTGTTGGAACACAGCCATACACCTGCTGACATCGTGAGTGTTGGAACACAGCCATACACCTGCTGACACCGTGAGTGTTAGAACACAGCCATACACCTGCTGACATCGTGAGTGTTGGAACACAGCCATACACCTGCTGACATCGTGAGTGTTGGAACACAGCCATACACCTCTGACATCGTGAGTGTTGGAACACAGCCATACACCTGCTGACATCGTGAGTGTTGGAACACAGCCATACACCTGCTGACACCGTGAGTGTTGGAACACAGCCATACACCTGCTGACATCGTGAGTGTTGGAACACAGCCATACACCTGCTGACATCGTGAGTGTTGGAACACAGCCATACACCTGCTGACACCGTGAGTGTTGAACACAGCCATACACCTGCTGACATCGTGAGTGTTGGAACACAGCCATACACCTGCTGACATCGTGAGTGTTGGAACACAGCCATACACCTATGACACTCGTGAGTGTTGGAACACAGCCATACACCTGCTGACATCGTGAGTGTTGGAACACAGCCATACACCTGCTGACACCGTGAGTGTTGAGACACAGCCATACACCTGCTGACATCGTGAGTGTTGGAACACAGCCATACGCTGCTGACATCGTGAGTGTGAACACAGCATACACTGCTGACACCGTGAGTGTTGGAACACAGCCATACACCTGCTGACACCGTGAGTGTTGGAACACAGCCATACACCTGCTGACATCGTGAGTGTTGGAACACAGCCATACACCTGCTGACATCGTGAGTGTTGGAACACAGCCATACACCTGCTGACATCGTGAGTGTTGGAACACAGCCATACACCTGCGACATCTGAGTGTTGAACCAGCCATACGCTGCTGACATCGTGAGTGTTGAACACAGCCATACGACCTGCTGACATCGTGAGTGTTGGAACACAGCCATACACCTGCTGACATCGTGAGTGTTGGAACACAGCCATACACCTGCTGACACCGTGAGTGTTGGAACACAGCCATACACCTGCTGACACCGTAAGTGTTAGAACACAGCCATACACCTGCTGACATCGTGAGTGTTGGAACACAGCCATACACCTGCTGACACCGTGAGTGTTAGAACACAGCCATACACCTGCTGACATCGTGAGTGTTGGAACACAGCCATACACCTGCTGACATCGTGAGTGTTGAACACAGCCATACACCTAGCTGACATCGTGAGTGTTGGAACACAGCCATACACCTGCTGACATCGTGAGTGTTGGAACACAGCCATACACCTGCTGACACCGTGAGTGTTGGAACACAGCCATACACCTGCTGACATCGTGAGTGTTGGAACACAGCCATACGCCTGCTGACATCGTGAGTGTTGGAACACAGCCATACACCTGCTGACACGTGAGTGTTGGAACACAGCCATACACCTGCTGACATCGTGAGTGTTGGAACACAGCCATACACCTGCTGACATCGTGAGTGTTGGAACACAGCCATACACCTACTGACATCGTGAGTGTTGGAACACAGCCATACACCTGCTGACATCGTGAGTGTTGGAACACAGCCATACACCTGCTGACACCGTGAGTGTTTGGAACACAGCCATACACCTGCTGACACGTGAGTGTTGGAACACAGCCATACGCCTGCTGACATCGTGAGTGTTGGAACACAGCCATACACCTGCTGACACGTGAGTGTTGGAACACAGCATACACCTGCTGACACCGTGAGTGTTGGAACACAGCCATACACCTGACATCGTGAGTGTTGGAACACAGCCATACACGCTGACATCGTGAGTTGGAACACAGACATACACCTGCGACATCGTGAGTGTTGGAACACAGCCATACACTGTGACATCGTGAGTGTTGAACACAGCCATACCCTGCTGACACCGTGAGTGTTAGAACACAGCATACGCTGCTGACATGTGTTTGGAACACAGCTACCTGCTGACATCGTGAGTGTTGGAACACAGCCATACACCTGCTGACATCGTGAGTGTTAGAACACAGCCATACGCCTGCTGACATCGTGAGTGTTGGAACACAGCCATACGCCTGCTGACATCGTGAGTGTTGGAACACAGCCATACACCTGCTGACATCGTGAGTGTTGGAACACAGCCATACACCTGCTGACACCGTGAGTGTTGGAACACAGCCATACACCTGCTGACATCGTGAGTGTTGGAACACAGCCATACACCTACTGACATCGAGTGTGTTGGAACACAGCCATACACCTGCTGACACCGTGAGTGTTGGAACACAGCCATACACCTACTGACATCGAGTGTGTTGGAACACAGCCATACACCTGCTGACACCGTGAGTGTTGGAACACAGCCATACACCTGCTGACACCGTGAGTGTTGGAACACAGCCATACCAGCTGATCACATGCACATAACGTGTGCACATGACGTGTGCACATGCTTCAGAAGTCTCACACTTGCTTTCTTCTAATCTCACAGCTATTTCCCATTCAAACACAGACTCAGTAAACTAACATTCCTTATCTAAGACACGAGTGCAACACTGGGACGTTTATTATGGAAATATTCTTGGCTCATTGGGGACTTTCTCAGTCCGGTATAGAGACTGGGGAAAACAAAGAGTCCATGTAGACGGGATAACATCAGACATAGAGCGTGTGATGGTCGTACTGTGGAAAGAGATGTTAATACATGGGTAGAGTATACTGACAGTATGTAAATAAGACACATTGCTGGTTATAGATTTTTATGAACTATTTCCTAAACCAGGAGCTTTTATGAATTCACACAGAGAACTAAACAAGGCTAAGTATAGGGGATGTAGAGAGAGAGAGAGAGAGACAGACAGAGACAGAGATCCTGAGTTCATAAGTCAGATGTGAGTAACCAGCCGAGTGAGTGAGGTTTGATGATCGCTGTATCGGTTAATGGGAGAATAAGCCTTGATAAAACTTTGGAGATTGTGAATGATTTTGAGTCTGGTTTAATGTTATTGTTAGTGGTTATTACTGCTGATTCTAAGCATAACGTGTTGTGACGGTCACTTTCTTTGATGATAATGTGCTGTGACGGTCACTTTGATGATAATGTGCTGTGACGGTCACTTTGATGATAAGTCTTGATAAATCCTCATCTCCTTAGACCTTCCTGCTTTGTAATGGACTGATGAAGTCACTGTGTGGCGAAACGTTTCTTCAATAAAGATTCCCATAAGTTGCATAAGTGTCTCAATTCTTCAACTTGTCGGTTTTCAAAACAATTCATCACATCAGAACATTTGTTAAAGAAACGTTTTGCCACGAATGGATTATTCAGTCTAAGAAGCAACTTGTGACGAAACGTTTTACAAGTGTTTGGATTAATGAATAAGTTGAAAATGGTAAAAGCTGATGATTATGACATACGTGCAACAGTTGAGTATATTGTTGAAACGTTTCGCCTACACGGTAGGCTTTTTTCAGTCAAATACAGAGGAAACAGTACTGTAGACAGCTGTAGTGGTAATTAAATCATCTTTACCTCGCCACTACTACTGCTGTCTACAATACATTCCCATCTGTATTTAACTAATGAAGCCTACCGTGTAGGCGAAACGTTTCATCAATAAAGATACCCAACTGCTGCACACGTGTCTTAATCATCAATTCATACAAGTGTTTTACCCGCAATACGCTTGTCTGTACGCACAAATTTTCTTCCCAGTGTCCTGTTATCAGTCGTAACAAAGACGGCCTCAGTTCCCTCTCGCTGACAGTATTCTCTATACCAGTGTTTCTCAACCAGGGGTGAATTTACCCCTTTGTGGTGAAAAATTACATGGCAAGGGGTAAATATTTGATGTACCTGATAACTGAATAGAGTAATTTATTAGTCTTTTGACCTTATTTTTGTCCCTTTATGATGGCGATAATTTTTTTTTGTATATAATAAGGGGTTAGTTTAATATGTTTATTATGCACCCCATACCCATCGTGTGGGTGGTAGTCACCTCATACCCATCGTGTGGGCAGTAGTCACCCCATACGCATCGTGTGGGCGGTAGTCACCTCATACCCATCGTGTGGGTGGTAGTCACCCCATACCCATCGTGTGGGTGGTAGTCACCCCATACCCATCGTGTGGGTGGTAGTCACCCCATACCCATCGTGTGGGCGGTAGTCACCCCATACCCATCGTGTGGGTGGTAGTCACTCCATACCCATCGTGTGGGTGGTAGTCACCCCATACCCATCGTGTGGGTGGTAGCCACCCCATATCCATCGTGTGGGCGATAGTCACCCCATACCCATCGTGTGGGTGGTAGCCACCCCATACCCATCGTGTGGGCGATAGTCACCCCATACCCATCGTGTGGGCGGTAGTCAAAAAATTACAAAGGTACATAATGGGTCCAGGGACTGGACCCCAAAGTTTTAATATCTGAGCAAGTCACAAAGGTAATAAACTCGTAACGGGGTATATGGAAAATACATCAAGCCAAAGGTGTTAACGCTGGAGTAAAAGTTGAGAATCCCCACACGTCATGTTCTTCCTGCGGATGTGTGAATGTGATGTGATTTTCTTAAGCAAAGGCATAAAAAAATCACAAAATATTAGCACCTTTTATGTTTCAGATATTTTCTCAATATGATTTTTGAACAATTATGATAGAATAACAGGGACGAGTGGAAGTACAAAATGAGAAGCATAATTACATTCCTACTTCAGATGTTTCAAACGATCCCCTGAGTGCAATTTTCCCGCCTCAAACACGGCATTGTCTTAGTCTCATGAGTTTTTCTTAACTTTAACCAAATTTCAGGCAAAACATGAACTTTGTCCAACCTTTAAAAGAAATGCATATTATTTTTATTACATTCATGGGGGAGCGCTAAGCCCGTAGTGGTCCTAAAACACCTGGGGAATATCTGACCGACTCCGTCCAATGAAGTGAATATTTATAGTGATAGTATTGATGCATAGTGAAGAGTATGATAGTATTAGGGGTTAGGTAAGATTCGTCAGGAAACAGGACAAGTGTTTCCTGACGCGGATCTTAATCATTTAATGACCCTACTCTAGAACTTCTGGTCATCTGACCGAGGCCTTTCCCTGGCTTACCTGTCCATCCCTTTACAATATGAAAGGAATACCTGTGATGATATTGATGTATGTTAAATATTTACTGTGATAGTGCTGATGCATAATGGAGATTTACTGTGCGAGTATCGAGGCGTGGGAGAGTTGTGATGGCGTGGATTTCGGAACGACTTTCTCATCTACCCAGTCTGTTACAAATATCTGTTTTTAAAGTTGTATTATTCTCTGACGTGTATATAAGGGTTATAATCAAAGCCATAGCTTTTAAAGGGATGGACCGGTAAGCTAGCTGAAGGCCTCGGTCAGATTACCGAAAGCTCCAGCTACGGGTCATCACTAAGACCCGAGGCAGGAAATACTTGTCCTGTTTCCTGACATACTTTAACTAACCTAACATCGTGAGGTGATGGAAGAGAACTAGGCTTCAAATAAATTATCTACTTAGACGAGGGTGCATAAAAGCTTAAGTGATTGTAATCTCAATCACTATTACTTAATACTTATAGAGTTTTAGTCTCTAAAATTCTAGCCAGAATTATTTACATTTCTCATTAATTTTCCAATGCTTTCTGAGATATATAACTATGGTTACTTTCTAAAGTTCTTCGATTATCTCAGACGTAGAAAAGAAAATAATTTCTCCCCCTGAAGTTATTTAAATAGTCGAGCATGGAAGAAATAAATCCTTTAGATTTGCAGCATAACAGCAGTCGCCTAAAGATATGGAAATATAGATCAGTAGTAGTCATTCTATTCTTCATGATTTCTATATCATAAGTTAGAGTGTATAATAACAATAATTAAAGGAGTGTCTCCTTTTACTATCCAAAATATTCAGCAGTAAGATGACATGAGTGACGTAACACTTATCAAGTGAGGGACGGAGCAGGTATATAAGGCAGCAGCATCGACCACAAGGCATCACACGACCCCACACACACATTCTCAGCTCACCATGTCTTGCAAGGTAAACATCCACTCTTAGTTTCCTCAGTGCTGGGCTCTGTTTAGATGCTGAGGTCTCAGTGCTTGTCATTTTACACGCAGCACTTATTCAGCAACCAAAAATTATCAGCACTGCGAACATTGATAGTATTGCAGAAACAAAACAATAGGTTAGGCGGCATTTTAAGTATGGTTACTCTGCGTTAGGTATTCTAAACACCAGGCTATCGCGGTGAGCACCCATGTAAATGTACAGAAAATCCTCCCCATCCTTCATAAGCAAAACAATAGTTCAAGTAGTTGAAAAAAAAGATACAAACAGTAAGTGGAAACGCTCTCTTAAAGATTAAAATTAATGTTTATTTCTTAATCAATTATAATTTGTTAGTATTCCCATATCATGTACCATTACAATACCCCACCCCGGGTAGTCGCCAGCCTTCACGCTCCTTGCCACTACTATGCATACTAAACCTTTGAATTAAGCTGCTGCTACCAGCGTAAGCCAGTGTGGAGGTCACCGTCAGAAGCACCTTAGTCAGATATTACAAGTCAAGTCACCACCACCATATTTAAATTATCACTAACAATGCCAACACTCACAGGTTAATCCGATTATACTCATAAATCGCGGCACGACTAAACTTGATGAGTAAGATCCAGAAGGAAAAAGAAATTAGAATCCCACTGAATAACTAGAGACAATCAACATCTGTCTTGATATTTATACAAGAGACAGATCGTCTGTCTAGGTTTTAATTGATCTGTCTATCAACAGTTTTCCATCCCATAACAATTTATTTCATTTGATGAAGCTGAATAAGCAGTTATTTTTACACATGGAATAAAATATAATTGTAGCCACGAACACTAACAGAATATGTGTTACTGTTCCGTTCTTCAGGTGTTATTGTTGGCCACTCTTGTAGTGTTAACTGTGGCCAGGCCTGAACCACCTCCAACTGCAGGTTATGGCGCTCCAGCACCCATCTTTATCTCATCCGGGCCCGAGGTAAGCTCAATCAATATTCAAGCTTATGTTTCGACGAAAATGAGATAATATTTATGCTATGCTCGTGTTATTGTACAGTAATTATCAGCATAAGTTAATGGGCGCTGAATTCTAGCTCTAGAGTCTTCTATTAACTGATATTATCTGAGTAGCTTCAACGCTTCAGTTGTCCTCCAGTTTGTCGCTTCATAATTTATTGCATTTCTTTACTAATGTGTTGCTATAAATGTATTTCCTGACGTTTCTGTAAATTATCTATACTTAATTTCCATCTGTATTTCTTTATCCTGGTCCTTTCCTCTAATACACTCTGTTTTTGTCCATCTTATATAAGTGTCTGTGTGTAGTCACCGATCTGTTTTTGCTGGGATCGGATTTCAGCTCGCTTCAGGCATGAGCCTGGACACACACTCGATTCTTAATTTTATTAAATAAGGGTTCCACACAGGTGCTGCTTGTAACGAATGTTTAGGTCGTGTCTTTTTCTGGGTTTCTAAATATTGATCTTTGGATTGTGAGCCTAACTTGAATTGCTGATATTACTTTAGAAGACGTGACTCACGAAATCGTAATGACACGACTGCAAACAAACCATACCACGGGTGGGGTTAGAACCCGCGGGTTCTAACCCCACCCGTGGTATGGTTTAGAAGACGTATTTTCTGGTAATAGTTATTCCAGTGTTTTATTTTGATTGATTCCCTCAATCTTTTCCTCCCAGATAGTACTCTGCAGTCTGTCTCTTCTGCCCATCTTCTAGTCTATGATCAACACTAAGAGATAATGATTACAGCTTTAAAAATTTGGCATTTCATGCAGTAAATCAATATGCTTCGTGTTGCAGGCTCCTCCTCGGTACGACTTCAACTATGCAGTGAAGGACGAGTACGCTGGCAACGACTTTGGTCACCAAGAATCTCGTGACGGCTACGACACCAAGGGCAGTTATTACGTCCAGCTTCCCGACGGTCGTCTACAGAAGGTGACTTACTACGTCAACGGCGACTCTGGCTACATAGCCCAGGTTGAATACCAGGGTGAGGCTCAGTACCCAGCCTACCAGCCCGCCCCTGCGCCCACCTACACGCCAGCTCCCACTTACGGTTGACCCAGCGAACTAAACTTACTAGCTAAAAACGTTACCGTATCCTTATTATATAAATTTGAATATATAAATAATGTTATAGTTATAAAAATAAAATCTCTATTCAATTCGATATATTTATTCCCACAAAAACATTGCTGAGAAAAGTTTGCTCAGTAATAATAAGTTTTTATTTAATAATCCACACTGAGTCTGAGTAACAAATTGTAATAAGATATATTTTATCTTCGTCTTGTCTTCATAAGTTAAAAACATCTGTTAATTGTTCCCAGGTGACCTTTGTAGTGTGAGAAATCAACAAATACCGAAATAGGGAGATAAAACATGAAGGGAAAGGAGTAAAGGGGAAATAAAGGAGCAGTTATGTCTCCATATTCTATTTAGATAATACGAAGGATCTATATATAAAAAATATAATTGACAAATTATGCAAGCAATTATATATATATATATATATATTATATATATATATATATATATATATATATATATATATATATATATATATATATATATATATATATATATATATATATATATATATATATATATGTATATATATATATTTATTTTTTTTAACACACTGGCCGATTCCCACCAAGGCAGGGTGGCCCGAAAAAGAAAAACTTTCACCATCATTCACTCCATCACTGTCTTGCCAGAAGGGTGCTTTACACTACAGTTTTTAAACTGCAACATTAACACCCCTCCTTCAGAGTGCAGGCACTGTACTTCCCATCTCCAGGACTCAAGTCCGGCCTGCCGGTTTCCCTGAACCCCTTCATAAATGTTACTTTGCTCACACTCCAACAGCACGTCAAGTATTAAAAACCATTTGTCTCCATTCCCTCCTACCTAACACGCTCACGCATGCCTGTTGGAAGTCCAAGCCCCTCGCACACAAAACCTCCTTTACCCCCTACCTCCAACCTTTCCTAGGCCGACCCCTACCCCGCCTTCCTTCCACTACAGACTGATACACTCTTAAAGTCATTCTGTTTCGCTCCATTCTCTCTTCATGTCCGAACCACCTCAACAACCCTTCCTCAGCCCTCTGGACAACAGTTTGGTAATCCCGCACCTCCTCCTAACTTCCAAACTACGAATTCTCTGCATTATATTCACACCACACATTGCTCTCAGACATGACATCTCCACTGCCTCCAGCCTTCTCCTCGCTGCAACGTTCATCACCCATGCTTCACACCCATATAAGAGCATTGGTAAAACTATACTCTCATACATTCCCCTCTTTGCCTCCAAGGACAAAGTTCTTTGTCTCCACAGACTCCTAAGTGCACCACTCACTCTTTTCCCCTCATCAATTCTATGATTCACCTCATCTTTCATAGACCCATCCACTGACACGTCCACTCCCAAATATCTGAATACATTCACCTCCTCCATACTCTCTCCCTCCAATCTGATATCCAATTTTTCATCATCTAATCCTTTTATCCTCATAACCTTACTCTTTCCTGTATTCACTTTAAACTTTCTTCTTTTGCACACCCTACCAAATTCATCCACCAATCTCTGCAACTTCTCTTCAGAATCTCCCAAGAGCACAGTGTCATCAGCAAAGAGCAACTGTGACAACTCCCACTTTATGTGTGATTCTTTATCTTTTAACTCCACGCCTCTTGCCAAGACCCTCGCATATATATATATATATATATATATAAATATATATATATATATATATATATATATATATATATATATATATATATATATATATATGCAAAACAACCACTCTGAAAGAATAGAGAAATTCCAAGCGCTTTCGTGACTACTCACATTATCAAGGAACTATGAAAGTGAAGCATCCAAGGAAGCTATATAAGGGGTCGGCCAGCACCTTACTATCAGATCCCACAACGGTTAAACACGTGACGCGCGGCGAGCCAACTTGGATAGGTCCTTTCCAAAACTCACCCCCAAGCTATTTATTTGTCCAGTGTATTATTAAATTCTACCCAAATTCTATTAATTATAAATGGATCTAATTTATATGAACCAAAGGAAATATTCATATTGTCAAAACTGCTTTTTATGAAACAAGATTCAATTATATTCCTGTCGACCATGGACTTGCTTGATACTACTTTCTCAACTTTTTGAAAATCAATTGGATGGTTAAAATCTCTTACATGAATAAATAGAGCATTGGAATCTTGTCCAGTTCTAATGCTATATTTATGTTGTTTTAATCTTAGTTCGAGATTTTTACCAGTTTGACCGTAATAAACTTTATCGCAAATTTTACAAGGAATCTTATAGACACATCCATCAGCATTTTGGGGGGAATTCTTAATCAAAAGTTTTTTTACTGTATCAAGATTTTTGAATACAACTTTAATATTAAAAGTCTTAAGAAGAGAAGGCATATCAACCAAGTTTTCATGGTAAGGGAGAACCAACATATTTTTAGTTGAATAAGGCTGGTTGCCCTTTTTTGGATTATAAAAAGTGTTCCTAGCAACTTTAAAAGATTTATCAATTACATTTCTTGGGTATTTTAAATCATTACCTATTTCATAAATTTTGGATATTTCCTCATCTATGAACTCAGGACTACAAATTCGTAAAGCTCTCAAAAACATTGATGAGAAAACAGACAGTTTGACTCTATCTTGATGCGAGGAATAATAGTGGACATAGGAACAGTTATTTGTAGGTTTTCTGTAAATTTTAAATTTGAATTCATTATTACCCTTAATTAAAACATCTAGAAAAGGCAATGAGTTATTTTCTTCAAACTCAACAGTAAAGTTTATAGAATGGGCTAAGCTATTTAATTTTCCAAGAAAATGGTGTATATCTACATTTTTGGGCATAAGACACAAAATATCATCAACATATCTGAACCATTTAGCTCTATTAGGGAGGATTGTGTTTTTGAGAGCTTTACGAATTTGTAGTCCTGAGTTCATAGATGAGGAAATATCCAAAATTTATGAAATAGGTAATGATTTAAAATACCCAAGAAATGTAATTGATAAATCTTTTAAAGTTGCTAGGAACACTTTTTATAATCCAAAAAAGGGCAACCAGCCTTATTCAACTAAAAATATGTTGGTTCTCCCTTACCATGAAAACATGGTTGATATGCCTTCTCTTCTTAAGACTTTTAATATTAAAGTTGTATTCAAAAATCTTGATACAGTAAAAAAACTTTTGATTAAGAATTCCCCCCAAAATGCTGATGGATGTGTCTATAAGATTCCTTGTAAAATTTGCGATAAAGTTTATTACGGTCAAACTGGTAAAAATCTCGAACTAAGATTAAAACAACATAAATATAGCATTAGAACTGGACAAGATTCCAATGCTCTATTTATTCATGTAAGAGATTTTAACCATCCAATTGATTTTCAAAAAGTTGAGAAAGTAGTATCAAGCAAGTCCATGGTCGACAGGAATATAATTGAATCTTGTTTCATAAAAAGCAGTTTTGACAATAATATGAATATTTCCTTTGGTTTATATAAATTAGATCCATTTATAATTAATAGAATTTGGGTAGAATTTAATAATACACTGGACAAATAAATAGCTTGGGGGTGAGTTTTGGAAAGGACCTATCCAAGTTGGCTCGCCGCGCGTCACGTGTTTAACCGTTGTGGGATCTGATAGTAAGGTGCTGGCCGACCCCTTATATAGCTTCCTTGGATGCTTCACTTTCATAGTTCCTTGATAATGTGAGTAGTCACGAAAGCGCTTGGAATTTCTCTATTCTTTCAGAGTGGTTGTTTTGCATATTTTAAAATCACCTGTTTACTGTGATCTTATTGCATATATATATATATATATATATATATATATATATATATATATATATATATATATATATATATATATATATATATATATATATATGAGATTTATTATTTTACCAAAAGATGATCAATTACTTTCATAAAGTTTACAGTGACTACATACACCAATATATTGTATGAAAGCACTTAAGTTCCTATTTATGAACTTAGATGTTCCCACGATGACTTGGATCAAGTTGGATTACCTCTTATTTTATTGGTAGTTCTTGACTGGTGGACCTGTACCGGTTGTTGACTGGTGGTGCTGGAATAGGTTCTACTAGGTGTACTGGTTCTACTAGATGTACTGGTTCTACTAGGTGTACTGGTTCTACTAGATGTACTGGTTCTACTAGATGTACTGGTTCTACTAGATGTACTGGTTCTACTAGATGTACTGGTTCTACTAGGTGTACTGGTTCTACTAGATGTACTGGTTCTACTAGATGTACTGGTTCTACTAGATGTACTGGTTCTACTAGAAGTACTGGTTCTACTAGATGTACTGGTTCTACTAGGTGTACTGGTTCTACTAGATGTACTGGTTCTACTAGATGTACTGGTTCTACTAGATGTACTGGTTCTACTAGATGTACTGGTTCTACTAGATGTACTGGTTCTACTAGGTGTACTGGTTCTACTAGATGTACTGGTTCTAGTAGGTGTACTGGTTCTACTAGATGTACTGGTTCTACTAGGTGTACTGGTTCTACTAGATGTACTGGTTCTACTAGATGTACTGGTTCTACTAGATGTACTGGTTCTACTAGATGTACTGGTTCTACTAGGTGTACTGGTTCTAGTAGGTGTACTGGTTCTACTAGATGTACTGGTTCTACTAGGTGTACTGGTTCTACTAGATGTACTGGTTCTACTAGATGTACTGGTTCTACTAGGTGTACTGGTTCTACTAGATGTACTGGTTCTACTAGATGTACTGGTTCTACTAGATGTACTGGTTCTACTAGTGTACTGGTTCTACTAGATGTACTGGTTCTAGTAGGTGTACTGGTTCTACTAGATGTACTGGTTCTACTAGATGTACTGGTTCTACTAGATGTACTGGTTCTACTAGGTGTACTGGTTCTACTAGATGTACTGGTTCTACTAGATGTACTGGTTCTACTAGATGTACTGGTTCTACTAGGTGTACTGGTTCTACTAGATGTACTGGTTCTACTAGATGTAACTGGTTCTACTAGGTGTACTGGTTCTACTAGATGTACTGGTTCTACTAGATGT